TCCATCGACAGTATTGATACAATATTAAAATAGCAGAAATATAAAAAAATAGCACCCGACTATTGGCCTGTAAAATAAATATACAAGAATTTCTCGTTTAAAGGTATTAGATTTATGTATATGTACAATTTACTGGGGAGAGCTTGTCGAATAACAAATCTTTTAGAGGTAAATTTAATTTGGTTTTATCATTACGAGTTTGTAGCCATGACTATCCTTGTGTAGTGTTTGTCATCCTAACTTCCTGAATAAAAGTAATGGCAAAGTGTTTGTTTCGTAGATTTGTTTGTTTCGAAACCGAAATTACTAAAACTTCATGAAATATTGCATATACGTCGTCAGGAGAGTTGGTTGTGGGCTTCGGTTTCCGCATTTAGACTCAAGAGTGGTTATTTATGCGTCGATGACTGATTAGCTAGGTGAGCCAACCAAGCTCCTTCCAGAAGCGCAGAAGCCTCCCGGGGTGTTCACAGGCTTCTAGGAGCGATTTTGTATCGAAAGAGAAAGACATACGGTACTTTTCATCTCAACAAAAGTAAGTTTTTTAACAAACAATCAACAATCCCTCGCAAGGAGTACCTTACAAGCGATTGTTGATAGTTTCACATTAAAGCTGGAGTAGTTTTAAATGTACACGTTAGTTTATTTTTATAATACACTAGCTGGTACCCGCGACTTCGTCAGCTTGGAATTTGAAAAGTCTTATTGGTACAGTGTGGTCGGTGCGCGACTGCAGTCCATGAAGCCTCAGTTTCGATTCGCGGACTGGACAAAATGTTATAAGGTTTTTCTGAGAGGAAAAATAGCCTAAATTACTTATACATATACACAGCTATCTAGCAGGAAAATAATATCATAATCAGACAGACAGACAAAAAATATTTAAATTCGTTTTTAGTCATGGCTATCGTGCAAATAACACTATAACACTTAGGTTTTATTTATTTGTATAGATATAGCAGTACATATGTGTTACTGTTGTCCGTGTGGTGACGGATTAAGAATACATAGTGTCACCACCCCTATTCATCCCGTGGGTGTCGTAAGAGCCGACTGAGGGAGCAAACTATGCAGGACAACAGCACTTCAGAGAGAAGGAAAACTTGACACAAATCCTATACCAACCCGTCTGGCCAGCGTGGTATAGTAGGCCAAAACCTCCTTTCTAAGGAGAGGCCTATGTCCAGCAGTGGACTATTAAAGGCTGTTGATGATGATAATGCTGATGATGATACGTTACTAGAGCCCAAATCAGCTGATTCTGATGTAGGGACTCAGAGGGCGGCAACGACTCTTCAGTTGCTGGGGTCATAGGCCTTAGTCACTTATTATCTGGTGATTCTTCAGTTCGTTTGTTTTCCTATACCATAAAAAAACATAACTGCATAAGGAAGTAGTCTTATGAAATGCTACAATCATTTTTTAATAAATAAAGGCTTAAATCGATAAGAATGTTGACATTGGCTATCTGTCTCGATGGATTGGCATATTTATTTAGCTGCTGGCGAACATACAAACTGAACAACATTCACACACTAGGGCAAATGAATCATAATCAATATCGTAACTCCATTACATCATCACATCAACATCCTATAATAGTCCCTTGCTGGACATAGGCCTCTCCTTAGAAAGGAGATTTTGGCCTACCAGTGTTGGTATAAGGTTTACTTCAAGCTTTCCTTGTCATTCCAGTGTTGTTGTCCTTACGTAGTCTACATGCGTGCCGAGGTTTAGCAAACGTCCATAAGCTCCAAGCCTTTCCAATGCTTGGATGCCATTCACACGCTTACAAGTGTGCTATTGTGTTCCGGACAGGCAAACATAGCTGATGTGGACATATTTTTGTTCAAAATATAAACAGCGGCACTAAAAAAAAAGATTTTTTTTAGCTCTACTAAACAGCCCAAACAGTAGAGCATTAAGACTTAATGTTGATACCCGACTGCTCAACTACAATATTTGTAATATCAAATTGAGCAGCAGTCACAAAGGCTTGCCGCGAGTTTTCTTTGATCTGTGTTTAAAAAGCGACACTAGTACCGATCGACGACGAGCATACACGAGCCGAGCCAAACACCTCGTTTACACGCTTGTGTTTATAGACACTTGTCGAGTCTCGCCATGCGTATAAACGGCCTATTACGACACCCACTCGATGAATAGAGGTGGTGACTCTCCATATTCTTAATCCGTCACCATCTTTTTTTTCTAATGGCCAACCTTTAAAGGTGGTAAGTGACCACCGCTCATAACGACCTGCAAATTAAGAGATACAAGTACATTCCGTCCTGGCAGTGTCCCCGAGAGCAGTGGGGTCTCTGGTAACCTTAATAACTCGGTGAAGAGCTACAAAAGAATTGCTTACAATCTAACACCGGTTTTCTATGATGCCGTGATATCACTCCGGTCCAGAAAGCCTGTATGAGCCAAAGCGTAGCTCTACCCCATTAAGACCTTTGCCTACCTCTCCAGAGATACAGGCGTGAGTATATAAATGTTGGTAAGTACATATCATCATCATCATCTTAGCCGAAAGACGTCCACTGCTGGGCATAGGCCTCCCCAAGGCTCTTCACAATAACCGGTCCTGTGCTGCGGGCAACCGACGGCTTCCCTTACTTCCGGCTTAACCAGGTCGTCGGACCACCTTGTAGAGGGTCTGCCCACGATCCGTCTCCTGGTACGTGGTCGCCACTCCAGAACTTTTTAGCCCCATGGGCCGAAGTACACATAGTATGATACAATGAGAACAAAGAACGAAAACATATGCACCGATATAAATACAGGCAAGACGAATGAACTGCGCATCTGCACAAACGTTAAAAAAATATACAATAAACACAAGTGCTGTTTATGTTTCACGGCTCTTTCCCAAACCTACTTATACTAACCGACTACATGAAAAAAAAAACAGCGTGAGGGTTATAAATAAAAACAATATTAATTTAAAAAAACTAATCAAAGGAATATCACTAGAACAAAAAAATACAACGAAACAGTATAAATGCTATCACCTAATTGTAAACCCATGTTTGCAATGAAAATAAACTGATTGATTGAGCCTTTTTCCCAATCTAGGTTCAGGTCGGCTTTAAGTGATTTTTTAACAGCAATCAGACCTTCACAACCCAAGTAGGTACTGAATTACGATATTGAAGTTCTGTAGGAGGACTATTGTCGGACTTTTTAGGACAATAACATACCTACAGTTTAGAAAGAAAGGAAAGAAAGAAAATACCCTTTATTGTAAACAATAAGTTGAACTTATTTTATAAATGCTAGAAAATTCACTAATGGCGACCTTATTGCTAAAAAACAATCTCTCCCAAGAAACCGAAAGGACGAATAGAGATCAGAGTGGTAGTATACAATTGTAAATATACAGATAATAATATAGGTGCAAATACACATACAGACATTTCTTTCTTTTTTCTTTTTTTTTTTGTGAAGAAAACTTCTATCAACAAACAAAAAACATACATAAAACGGATACAAAGAACACCCAGACTCAGAACGACAATTTGTGGATCATACAAAGCGGTGTCCCATGTGGGGCTCGAACCCACAACACTCAGCGCATTAGGAAGCGGCGTGGCGACTGCTTAAACCACTACGCCATTCGTGCAGTCATGTGCGTGTCAGTTTAAATGCAAAGAAAATAACTACTCACGAATTTATAGTTCTTTATTTTTAATTGCTCAGGGGCTGTACACTTATGGTTGTTTGACCTGCCGGGTCGAATACCAAATCATGCAATACCCGTCGGTCAACCACGTCAACCCACTCGAAACACATACACTTAGGTTCATAATACAAATATAAAAATCAAGCGCACTTATAACAAATGAAGAAAAATATAACTAACTCAAAAATCAATTAAAAAAATATCCTTAATATCTTTGAACAGCTGAACATCTGAACTCAATTGCAGTTGAGAAAACTGTAACAAAACCAAATTGAATCTGTCCGTTTATGTAGGAGGTTTGATGTCACAGATACACATTAGTCACGAATAGAAAAGGAAACAGTTAAAAATATACAAGCAAAGGTTTTTAAGAAGTACTACCGGGTTATACGCTAATTCTTTATACCCGGTTATTGATCTAAGTTGTTTTTTTTAGAGTTCTGATATCCTAGACTTTTATAACTTGTTAGGTAGCTGACGATACGTACATGTTGTCTTAACATATCTCAAACTTAACTGCCAAAGTTTTTTTTAATTATCCTTATATAAAATCCTTATCCCTTATCCTATTATATAAAAAAAATACAAATTTATTTCATAAGTAGAAAGTGCTTTCACACTATTATGCGAAAACGGTGTGCATCTTTGGTGCGCAGGGTGCGGGCTAGCTCTAACAGCATACTAGCCATGATCACAGAGAGGTTAGATTGCAGGTACATTGGTCACTGCAGCGCCGTCTCTCATGGAGTGCATAAATAAAAATATTAATATTGTAAATTGTCACTACTAACATAGGATAAGTTTTATGTATTACTAACAAGCAATGAGTCATGGTTACTCCAATAAAATGATTATTATTATTATAAAGTTAATAATGGCCCGGGTTGTTAACTAACTACAATTTTGGTAATGGAAATTATAAAGTTATTTATCTACGACACAAAAATAGAAAAAAATATGATAAACGTTTAAAAAAATTGTGGTAGGTAAAATTTCGGTCATTTTAACAAAAATCTTAAAAGTTTAATATCTTGTAAATGGTTAGGTTTGGCATAGGGTATTACAAAGTGAAATTTATTAGTAGTATTGATTACTACAACCCCCTAAAGTATCGAGGTTGACTTAACCAGTAACCCTGTATATTATTTTTATATTGTTAGTATTTACTCTATATTTAAAAAAAATGGTTCAACTTTTTGGCAAAAAAATCCATTTTTTTGTTAATATTGTTAAAAAACTGTTCAGTATAAAATTAAAGTTGAGTTACTTACATTATACAATAAACAAGGCAAATAATACGTAAAATACTCACAAAATTGATAACACCCAGTATTAAGCAAGCCCAATTTAGCGGTATAAAATAACAACACTTCTCAGACCAACACATTTTTGAATCACTGCTTGATATTAAACTTTTACTCGTATACTCAATCTTTCCAACTCCGTGTGGGACTAAATATAACACTGGTGTTGTCAGCATGGGACTACAAAGAACGAACTCAGGGAATAATGTAATGTGATGCCTCACTCAATCCCCTCCACCGCACTGTTAGCCACTCCTAAGGAATAATAATTATATTATAAGCAAAACTATTCTTGAAAGTAAAACTGTTATGATTACGGTGTCAGAAATTTGTACAGGGATGCATTTAGGTAGCATCGATTAAATAATATCACTTGTTTATGGGCTTAAGTAGACTCACTAATTATTCGATAAATATACATATATTTTATTATTATTCGATAAATATACATAGATTCAAAATATATTTTAGGGTAAATAGTTCCTCCTGTATTCGATTTTGGAGCTGGAACAGATTAGATGAGGAAGGAAGTAGACCGTGTTCTATGACGCTTATTGAAAGTGACCTATGTCCAGCAGTGGCTATTTGATTGATTGGATACAAGACTTAACCCACAACATTTCTTACAATTTCAATGTTCTAGGGTTTTATCATGGTATCCGCTTTTTACTCTATTGTCATTTCTTTTTTCTTCTTTTTAAAATTACTCAAATGTATCGAGGTAATACCTAAAAAAAATAGTTTTTAATTTACAACTTACATTTTTTTGAACACTGATTTTATTTTTGAAGGCAATTAAAGAGCACTTGTATCTCTTTACTTGCATATGTTTATGGGCAGTTCTAATCACTTACCATCGGGTAATCTCACCCGGGTTGCCCCCTATGCTGAAAAACCACGGCGTAATTGAGTTTCCCTCGATTATTGATTTCAACAAAATAGAGACCCGTGACAGATTAAAAAATATTTTCGAAATCTTATTTGAACAAAACGTAACATTGAATGAGGCCCTTGTTTATAAGTTATGTTCATATATCGTCATTCCCTTCAGCAAGGCGCAAGCACTTTAAGATAAGCAAAAACTTCTTCGCATGTTTATAAGCTTTTAAAATGATTTGTCCTCAAGGGCACACTTATTTTAAGTTGGTGTAAAATGTAAAAAAAAAAAACACTTCAAAATGTTGTCCAGAAATGTTTTTTTATGAACCCCTTAAAAACGAAGAGGTGTTATAAGCTTGACGTGTCTCTCTGTGTGTGTGTGTGTCTGTCTGTGGTATCGTAGCTCCCGAACGGATGAACCGATTTTGATTTTTTTTTGCTTGATAAAAATCGGTCCAAAATGGCCGACGCAACACTCCCTCAATATGGGTATCAAATGAAAGGGCTTGACTAGTAGAATACTATACACTGAGAAATTTCAAAACCATTTTGTGTCGGAGGTTTTTTTTATTTTTTATTCATTATAAATCCTTATTACCTATGTACCTAGGATTAGGTACATAGGTATTAAGGATTTATAATTATTTATAGTATTCTCGAAAGTAATAAATCCACGTCACATTAATTTCACTAAAATTAATTTTGCTTAGTGAAATTATTTTGATGGGGGTGTTGGTCAGTGACCCTGACTGCTAAGCCGAAGGTCTTGGGTTCGATTCCAACCCAGGATAAAATATTGTGTGATGAGCACGATCATTGGTGTCTGGGTGTAATATATCTTTAATATGTGTGTATTTAGAAATATATAAGTACATTTATCAGCAGTCTGGTTACCATATCACAGGCTCTGCCCAGTTTGGAAACAGATTGCCGTGTGTGAGATCTGTCAAGTTATTATTATTTGCTTCATAGACAGTTAAATTGTTCTTAAATTAAACTAATAAAATTTCTGTATTGTTGTCAATTTATACTGCAAAATAGGAAATTGAACTTTTGCAAATAGAACCGGTTTTGCGGTTATTTATATTGATTACACACACATTTTTCGGTCTCGCTCCTATCCGCTCAGAAGGTGTAACGCGCGTCAAGGGACTTCGTTCCAATAGATTCTGAAATGATACCACGGCCGCACAGAAAACCAGTGTTAATCAATTCTTTCCCTGATTTTCAACGAGAACGTAAGTATACCCGAGGATAATCAAATCCTGGGCAACTTAAAGGCTGTCAAAACACTTGTGGGTCTTAAGGTTCAACTGTCCATTGGCGATGTCAGTTACTTACCATCAGGACCTCAATTCTGCTATTTTAAGTTACCGTACCAACCACTGTCTTTCCATTGACACGTTATTGAGATGACATTTACATCGATCAAAATATCGGTATTCTACTAATACACAGTGTCAATAGACCGTCGATGTAGTCCGAAATAAAATCAAAATATTGTTCGAACAATATTATTAAATTTAAAATGTCCTATTTACCAAACTATAACAAAGACATCGTCAATTTTTGTATCAGTGTTGTTCAGTGACAAGTCATCGGGAGGCCATTAGTCTTACATAGTTAGTAGAATAAGAACAGTGCAACACTATTCGGACGACATTTCATCGACAGTCAATCGATATCATATTAAAATGGCAGAATTTAGGCCCTGGTGATATTTCAGCTCGTTTGTACCCAATATCGTTAAAAAATCCATGTTAGAGAATTGTAACATCCATCAATGACTGCAAATAAGACGTCATGGTTTAAGCGGTCACCTCACCGCTTCCTACTGCGCTTAGTGGTGTCCCTACATGGGACAACACTTTGTTTGATCCACAAATTGTTGTTATGAGTCTAGGTGTTCTTTGTGAGCATTTCATGTATATTTGTAAAGTCCGCCTTGACACCGGATATGTTACTACAGTAGGAGATGTCTTTAAAAAAAAGAAGGAAAAAGTTCTAAAATGATTATTTTTGCGCACAAAATATGCTCTTTTAACAGCATTTTGGTAGAGTAACTGACCTATTTAACACAACAACATTATATCGACAGTATACAATTGAGTAGTTTTACTATAATATGTAGCTTGCATAAAGCAGCGTCTACTGGTTCAAGAAAAAAATAGTATAAAACTTTTTTTTTTGTATTGAATCACATACTTATACCTTTTTCATTCCGTAAACTACTGCCATTTCAAAAGGTCAGCAGGTACTAAGGGCCGAACCATCACTACACGTTCACAACCACACATCACACATTACTGTGTGATCGATCACACATAGGAAGCACGGTTATGCTTGCTTGCAGTTTATTACAATTATACCTTGATAATTGTAATAAACTGCATTCTTCATCGGGATCCTTTCAAATAAAAAAAAGAACGAGTAGCTTCATAAATAATGTAGTTCTGAATCTGAAGTAATAAACATTAAAAAGAAAACATACAGCCGTTTTGAGAATTGAGAAGCAGTTTAAACACAGTTTTAGTCTACAAAGGTACGTGATCTTTAAACAAATAAAGTGTCAAAAATAGCCTTTGTTGTAGGCGCCCCCCATGAGTGAAAGTTACAGTCAACGGTTGTTATAGAAATCGTAATTTTTTCACATTTTTTTAATTTGAGAGAGGCAGACGAGCAGACAGGTCAACTGATGAAAAGTGACCATCGCCGCCCATAAACGTCTGCAACTCAGGAGTCACAAGTTGCTTTCTTTTGGAAGACTTCTAACTCTGCACAATATACCTAAATTAGAAATAGTATATTTGTAATATTTATAATTACCTATGTTTAAGTGGTGCACGCAATTTTAATGGTCGGGAAACATTATTCAATAATAATGTTTCCCGGCCAGTAGTAGCCACTGTTAAGAGTTCATTGTAATGTTTCACCCATGATTTACCCAAATAAATCATTTCATCACACCTGTGACTGATTTCCAAAACCATTGCTACTTAATTATTATTATTACGCTAGCGCAAGACTCGCGAAAGGTATAAATGGCTACGGGGTTCCGGCCATTTTTACCTTTCGCGAGTCTTGCGAGTCTTACCTTTGGCGAAAGCACGGTACAATTATAATACAGTATTGTAACTCGGCCGCATGATAGAAATAAATGCCTACAGCCGCGCGGTACTTAAACATGCGTTAGGGCTGCCCGTCTCCAGCATTTTAATTATATTTGCCTACTTTCTGTTTCTATTTAGATTTGTGATTGTAAATATCCTTTTTATATAAATAAATGAAATACTTTGTATATTGAATAGGAATTGTTCAATAAAAATGCGTGTTGTTTTTTGATTGGTAGATTTAATTAAAAAACATTTTTTTGTTTGAAAAACCAATCGGGCTTTTAAATTAGCGACCGAAAAAAATCCTTCTATAAAATAAAATAAATGTGCTTTCTCCATACGCGTTACAAAACTCCAATTCTTAGAAACTCCAACACCTACCACCTACTCAACTAGAATGCAAGAAACAGCTGACGAGTAAGTAACTTTTTATCTCAGCTAATTAACGTCTCTATAAATTACCTAACCTATAACCTACAACTCGCAACAACTCAAAACAAAAATTCTTTGGTCACCAATTAATTAATTATTAAAAAGCTGAACAGCTGACTACGAATGTTTTAAAATCACAACCCTCAAACATCTAAATATTATATATGAGTCTAGCTGTTGTTGTTAATACCGAGAAAATAAAACCAGTTTTTAGTGGTATATGTTGTTATAGTAGCAGCAGAAACACTTTGTGAAAATTTCGAAAACTGTCTAATGACACACAGACGGTAACAAATTTTTTTTAGTATTATTCATACACACAGATAATAAAGATATATTATTAATAATAAAATACCACGTCTTTAAGTAGAATTTTCTTTTTTTTGAATTATGCAAAGTAACAAAACAAACATGCACCGAAGTTTTAACACAAGCGTAAGTAGGTAGGTACCTACCGTATCATGATTCATTCAAAACCGCATGTAACTCCCTATTTCACTCGTCTCAATAACTTTCCGTTACTCTATTTGCTTTATTTATTCATCCAAACACCTTTTTTTTCGTGAGATAAAAGGAAATACTTATCCATTAAAAAGACACACATTATGTACCTACGTACTAGTAAGTAAAATTATTTTATAGTCTTACTTTTCAGAGTTTCCAGGTAATTTAAAAAAACTTATGTCTGGATGCGTTATTGACGAATTCATACAACCAAAAACAGCACAATATTTCCTACTCGTCATATTCACTGATTTTTAGAGAAAAAATCGCGCGGTTATTGTTAAAAAAACAACACGCAGTCCGTTCGACACTGCGGTACAGCCGTGACTGTCTGCGCCCCGAGCGCACCCCGAGATCGAGGCGCGTAGGTATAGCTCCCGTTTCGTCCGTTTGTATGAAGTTGCAGTACTGTATTATAATAGTACCGTGGCGAAAGGTATAAATGGCTTCATGGGCGAGTCGGACTTGCCCATGAAGGGTTCCGTAGCAGTAAGTAACATAAGATAAAAGTTCTTGTAGTTCGTTGTAACTTTGATCGATGTTTAAATAATTTTTTTTTTTAAATTATGTTATTTATTTATGACTTATTTATTATTTATTTATTTATTGATAAGTACTGCCACATCATACATATTATACTTATAACTAGTTTTGACAATATGTGGCATCATACCTGATATGTATGACAATTGAGGTGTACATAGCATTTACTGTAATGTAGTAGTGTAAAAAGTAGTAAACTAATTACAATCAAACGAGAAAAAAAGCTAAAGAAAAGTATACTTAATAATAATAATAAACTGTTTGAATTAATACTACTCTAAATCTATTTTATATTTTATTCACATTTGTTTGGGGTTAAGGTTGATGGATACAAAACATTTGTTATTTTAGTTTTAAATGCATTAAACGATTGGCGAAAGATGTCAATGTCTGGATCACGATCTTTGGATACTATTATATTGGTTAAGGACTCTATTTATGGGTGAATGTTGGCCTAAATTAGTTCTTGAAAATTGTGTGTGGAATATTTTAGTTATTCTATGTCTGGGATAAGAGTGAGGAACCTTCACTGATATTTTACCACTTTGGAAGTGTCTCTCGCGCAAACTATTCAGTTTAGAAAAAAATAATATTATAAACCTCAATATCAAAAATTTTGGAGTTTCAGTTCCAAGTATTAGGAACCCCCATTTATTGTTTTTTTATATTTTTTTGTGAAATTTTTAATGCGGTTTACAGAATACATATTCTTACAAAGTTTCAACAGTATAGTTCTTATAGTTTCGGAAAAAAGTGGCTGGACAGACAGACAGACATGACGAATCCATAAGGTCGTAATCTTGGATAAAAATAATTTTGATTGATTTTATTGCCGTTCATCTTTGTCTATTACGGACAATCACATGTGAAATCACTGCGACTAAAACCAATCATTTCATCAAATGAATATGATTTAAAACTAGCAATAATTTCCATGTCTAGAGTCTATAATGTTTAATCTGTGTATTCAACTTGCTGCTTTTCAAGTCTTACTAAATTTTAGTTAGTGGAATGAAAGGAACAGAGCATTAAAATTTACTTTCGTCAAATGCCATTACAAAAAACATACCAACTCATAGCCTTCATGGTTTTGTACGATTAATTATTTACCACCAATATTATTATAACAATAATAATTACCTCACAGATGTGTGGATCGGAGGGCCGTGTGTGAGATGTCACACGCGGCCCTCCGATCCCAGTTCCCAGGCCCGTCATTCGTTCCAGCACTTAATACATGCATTTTAATATTAATAAACGTCTTTATCCTCGAAGGTTAAATAGAAACGTATTAAACGCCTAATTTGACAAAACACTATAAATTTAAAAATACAATACAATTTTTGCTTATGTGTTGCTGATATAATTATAATACCTGCAATTCTGCAATTCTCGTGAAATGTGGTGTTGAAGAAATGCATATCTACATTATACATAAAGTTGTTATGATACCTACTGAAATACAAACTACTCGACTTATATTACATTAAGGTTCTTTGGGGAATCCCCGTCACGAACGTAATGTTTGCTTGCTTAAAAAGAGTGTAGAAACGTAGAATTGGTAAAAATGTAAAAAATCTTTGAACTCTTAATTTAAACTGTTTTCATTAAAGTTGGTTTCAGCTTTATGTGCTTAATTGCTATCGTGTGATTTTCTGAGGAGACAATATACAGAAAATTAAGGAATAAGAGAGCACTTTCGGATATGTCGATCCATCCACGAATTTACAGCGGCTAAATTTTTTCTTTTTACCAAAATATTTAAAATACTACGTTGGGCTGCTTATTATTATTAAGTTGTATTATTATTAAGTTGTGGATATTTCTATGTGACCAAAAAGCGCGACGCCTTCAATTTTGTCGCGCCTAATTATTGCGGCTCTGTGCAAAAGATAAGCTAGCCTTCCCTTCCTCCTCTTTCAGACGGCTGGGCTGAGTAGGTGGTGCTATAAGCGGGTTCTAATTTTCTTGCTTCACTTTGTGAAGAAACATTGTTTGTTTCAGGTTTTGGGTGGCTCTCTGGACTATTTAGTTTCACAATTGAACTCAATAGGTACCGGTGCACCGGAGATGAGCGATCCAGGATGAAGAAACCAGTGTTGGGGTTTACATGTTTCAGGTGACCCATCTGCTCTATAGCATAAACTAATTCGGAGAGGTCTATATCCAGCAGTGTACAGCTGTAGGCTAATTGATTGATAGGAATATCCAAACATTGTTCACACACTAATTTTTCAGTCTCGCTCCCATCCGCTCAGAAGGTGTGACGCGCAACAAGGGACTTCGTTCCAATAGATTCTGAAATGATACCACGGCCGCACAGAAAACCAGTGTTAATCAATTCTTTCCCTGATTTTGTCCATTCAATTGACACCTTATTGAGATGACATTGACATCGATCAAAATATCGGTTTTCTACTAATACACAGTGTCAATAGACTGTCGATGTAGTCCGAAAAATATTATTAAATTTAAAATTTCCTATTTACCAAACTATAACAAAGACATCGACAACAATTGTATCAGTGTTGTACAGAGACAAGTCATCGGGAGGCCATTAGTCTTACATAGTTAGTAGAATAAGAAAAGTTCAAAACTATTCGGACGACATTCCATCGACAGTCAATCGATAACATATTAAAATGGCAGAATTTAGGCCCTGGTGATATTTCAGCTCGTTTGTACCCAATATCGTTAAAAAATCCATGTTAGAGAATTGTAACATCCATCCATGACTGCAAATAAGACGTCATGGTTTAAGCGGTCACCTCACCGCTTCCTACTACGCTTAGTGGTGTCCCTACATGGGACAACACTTTGTTTGATCCACAAATTGTTGATATGAGTGTAGGTGTTCTTTGTGAGCATTTCATGTATATTTGTAAAGTCCGCCTTGACACTGGATATGTTACTACAGTGGGAGATGTCTTTAAAAAAAAAAGAAGGAAAAAGTTCTAAAATGATTATTTTTGCGCACAAAATATGCTCTTTTAACAGCATTTTGGTAGAGTAACTGACCTATTTAACACAACAACATTATATCGACAGTATACAATTGAGTAGTTTTACTATTATATGTAACCTGCATAAAGCAGCGTCTACTGGTTCGAGAAAAAAAATGTGTCAAGACAAAGAGAGAATAAATAAATAATCTTATTAAAAAAAAAACCTTTTTTTTTGTATTGAATCACATTTACCTTTTTTCTTCCGTAAACTACTACCATTTCAAAGTAACAGAATTCAAAAAAATATCATGTAATGAAAACAAAAGGTCAGCAGGTACTAAGCCCCGAACCATCACCACTCGTGGTGTGTGTACCTACACTACTACACATGACTCATCACTGTGTGATCAATCACACATAGGAAGCACGGTTATGTATCCTTGCAGTTTATTACAATTATACGGTGATAATTGTAATAAACTGCATTCTTCATCGGGAAGGAAGGAAATTCATTCAAATAGCACTCAAGTAATGTCTATCCAAATTTATAATAAACTACCCGAAGAAATTAGAAATGAAACCATATTAAATATATTTATAAATATATTAAAATTTATAATTACTACTACTACTACTACAAAAATGCTATTACAGCATCAAGGAATACCTGAGTGGAAAAAACGACTGTAGTTAAACGAAATCGCAATCAATAAATTAAGCATGTACATAAAAAACTGAAGTATAATTATTATTGTTAGTTTGTAGTATCTCTCCCTCTCTCATCTATTGCTGTGCCCGACGAGGTTCATGTTGATCTGATCTTATATTTAAGTTACCATCTAAGTAAACATTGTGGAATGCAATAAATATATGAAGTATTGAGAAATCACCCTTTCCAATAAAAAAAACCGAGTCGCTTCATAAATGATGTAGTTCTGACTCTGATGTAATAAACATAAAAAAGAAAACATACAGCCTATTTGAGAATTGAGAACCAGTTTAAACACAGTTTTAGACTACGAAGGTACGTGCTCTTTAAACAAATAACGTGTCAAAAATAGCCTTTGTTGTAGGCCCATGAGTGAAAGGTACAGTCAACGGTAGTTATAGAAATTGTAATAATAAGACACTTACACACGTGTCGTTTTGTTACGATTTTTGTAACGGTCTTTTTGACCGTCACTTAAGTCGTAAGCAGTAGTCACGGTACTATTATAATACAGTACTCCAACTTCATACAAACGGACGAAACGCGAGCTATACCTACGCGCCTCGATCTCGGGGTGCGCTCGGGGCGCAGACAGTCACGGCTGTGCCGCAGTGTCGAATTGTTTTTTTAACAATAACCACGCGATTTTTTCGATTGTGCCGTTTTTGGTTGTATGAATTCGTCAATAACGCATCCAGACATAAGTTTTTTTTAAATTACCTGAAACCTCTGAAAGGTAAGACTATAAAATAATTTTACTTACTAATAGGTAGGTACATAATGTGTGTCTTTTTAATGGATAAGTATTTCCTTTTATCTCACAAAAAAAAAAGGTGTTTGGGTTAATAAATAAAGCAAATAGAGTAACGGAAAGTTATTGAGACGAGTGAAATAGGTAGTGTATCAAAATTTATAGGGAGTGAATCAAAAAACAACACGCATTTTTATTGAACACTTCCTATTCAATATACAAAGTATTTCATTTATTTATATAAAAAGGATATTTACAATCACAAATCTAAATAGAAACAGAAAGTAGGCAAATATAATTAAAATGCTGGAGACGGGCAGCCCTAACGCATGTTTACGTACCGCGCGGCTGTAGGCATTTATTTCTATCATGCGGCCGAGTTACAATACTGTATTATAATTGTACCGTGCAGTAGTGCAGTAGCACCGTAATGGTCATATTCGGTTCCGTGTGACGGTTCTCTGCCTATCTTTGTATGTGACATGTTTTAATGTAAAATTGTATACACATATTAGAACCAGATAATACAGACGTATGTGTGTGAGGCCCTGGTATTACTCCGGTCGAGCCGGATCACGTCAGAGTCTAGTCTGGAGATGGAATAAAATCACAATCACATGTGACTAATCATATTTGTGATTCCAAATGAAGATTGTTTCTGTAAGTGTTTTTTATTTGAGAGGGGCAGAGGAGCAGACGGGTCAACTGATGAAAAGTGACCATCACCGCCCATAAACGTCTGCAACTTAGGAGTCACAAGTTGCTTTCTTTTGGAAGACTTGTAACTCTGCACAATATACCTAAATTAGAAATAGTATATTTGTAATATTTATAATTACCTATGTTAAGGTGGTGCACGCAATTTTACTGGTCGGGAAACTTTATTATTGGCTAAGAGTCCATTGCAACGTTTATATATTATTGCGGAAAGGTATAAATCTAAAAAAATAAACAGGTCGTAATCTTTGATAAAAAGAATTTTGATTGATTTTAATGCCTTTAGAAGATAAAGGCATTAAACTTAATCAAAATTATTTTCGTCTATGACGAACTCACAATCACATGTGAAATCACTGCGACTAAATCCAATTATCGCATCAAATGAATATGATTTAAAACTAGCAATAATTTCCATGGTTAGAGTGTGTGTATTCAACTTGCTGCTTTTCAAGTCTTGTTAAATTTTAGTTAGTAGAATAAAGCAAACAGAGCATTAAAATTATCTTGACTTTTTAGTCTCTAATAAGATATTGGTGCATGAAGACTTCTACAGTAGTGATTACGTGTTTGTTAAAAACGATAAGGTACGGAAACCGTACAATGCCCGTATGACGGACCATACCGCGATTACCAGTTACGCAGTTACTTGGCAGACAGTTACGAGTTTCTATTAATAGATTAAAGCCAGCGTATATAATGAAAGATAATAGTTTACAAGTTAATATATCGGATAACATAGAGCATAGGAATAACAAACCTAGTTGTCAGAAAACGGTTAAAAAAGTTCAAACGAGCGAATCCAGTAGTTCAAAGTATGTTAAACGACTCAGCAAAAAACCGGAAAGAAATTTGTAATATGTAAATGTGTATAGGTAAAAAGTAAACAAATTTGGTAAAGTACACGTATAATTGTAAAATATATGTCGGAGCAACTACAAACTATCTCATTTAATGAAAATAATTTAATTGATGTAAATTAGATTGTAATGGATTATAATTCAAGTTTTTATAGTGTTAAGAAATAATCTGAAGAATCGTATTATCTAAACACAACAGAAAATACAACACCTAACCTCATCAATCATCATCAACAGCCTATAACAGTCCACTGCTGGACATAGGCCTCTCCTTAGAAAGGAGGTTTTGGCCTACTATACCACGCTGGCCAGACGGGTTGATATAGGGTTTTCCACTGAGCTTTGGAATAGCAGTCCGTTACACAAACCACTACGCCATCCGGTCGTCATATTTATCCTGAGTGAGAATCAAATCCCCTATACCAACAGACCCGTCAAATTAAATTTATTGCTAAAGTTTGTTCCAAAAAAGGTTGTTAAAAAATCTAACTTCACTACACTAATTCACCAAATATTATTGTGTTCAAGTACTAATCTTAAATATGTTACAGCTCCCCAACCCCATAAAGTACTTTGACTGCACGGATGGCGTTGTGGTTTAAGTGGTCGCCACGTCGCTTACTACTACGCTGTGTTGTTGGTTCGATCCCCACATGGGACGACATCCACAAATTGTCGTTTTGATTCTGGGTGTTCTTTGTGTCCGTTTCATGTATGTTTGTAAAGTCCCTCGCGACACAGAATATATTCCGGATATAATGCGTGAGGTGTCTTTAAAATAAAAAAATATTACTAAAATCCGTAACTAGATGGCGTTGCAAAGCGTTAACACAAGTAATTTTTATCTTTCTTTTTATTATGGGGATTTCCTCGAGCTTCATGGGGACCTATTGCATTTAAAATATTAGGTAATAGAATGAATAAAAGTTATATTTAATGTTTCTACTTTTCTTTTGTCTCTTCTTTCTGTATCTTCCAATGTTTGCTTCAAAATAAATAAAATGTCGGTGTTTTCTTTTGGAACTTTGTGACAATCTCACTGCTTTATGTCACGCTCATTTTTTTTTTGAATACACACTAATGGTACATGTAATTTACTCAACTTACTAAACTTTTTTTAACTAATCTGATGGGCTGCACTAGACG